CACAACCACTCCTCTGCCTGTGGGCCACTCACTCTATGGGCCACCTTTGGACGAGTCTGTAGAGCCGAGTGGACCGTATCCAGTGCTTGTGGGTTGTCTCCATGCCCACACCTCCCACCGTGCCCTACCAGTACCAATCTGGTCCACTGCGCGACACCATCTCTGGACGCCCCAATCACTTCCTATGCGCTGGTTCCCCACCTCGACAACCTCTTCTGCACCCAGTTCTGGCCTATAGCGTCTTTCCTAGACTAGCCTGCACCATTAGGCAACGGTTTGACTGCGATTGATCTTGATATATGTTAGATAGGATCTGCTTTGTATGCTATGTATGCTGATGAGTCTATTTCATCATTCGTGTGCACATCGACGAAATTCCCTTGTTATGCTTAGCGTAGAATCCTCTATTTTTTCTTGCCCAGATGTGTCCACTGCCGGCGAATTCCTCGCCTTAACGCTCGACTCCATTGTGTCACCGTGCTTCTTCCGCAACAACACCACCCTCTTGCCGCTTCTAGCTCTTGTCACATTCTCCTTGGACAATTCCTCACCTGTACTGGTTGTCGCGCTCTTGCACTCCCGTGCTCAGAAGCCCCCTTTGGTTCCCTCGCATGTCTGCACATCCCCTCGTTATCTAGGAGCTTGGTTGGTGTCTATCGTTTTCGAAAACCTTGATGTCACCACCACGTTTCCTATACAAACCACCCCAAGGCACCTCTTGTCATGTTCCCTCAAGACCCTGCATTGGATATTTTCACGGTGCATATATACCCAGGTTTCTGCGTTATAGAAGTTGCGTCGTGCTCATATCGTTCGCTCACTCAACCCTCGCTCATGTGTACATGGCTTAGCACAGTCTTGTCCCTGATTTCTCATCCTCGCTCCCTGCTCTCCCTCCCCGTCTGCGGCCCTATGCACCCCTTGCATCAAGTGCAGGCAATGCGCCGCACCTCACTCCTCATTTCCTCCCACTATTGCGTCTCTCCAGACCCTACAAATGGACACCTGGGGCCTTACCCCTGTCACTGGGCCGCACCGGGAGCACTAGTTACTGGTCGTTATGGACGACAACTCCCGCTGCACCATGGTATTTTACTTTGAGCGGTAAGATCGGCGTGCATGACGCTCTCCTCCCATGGTTAGTACCAGTTCGCACCCATTACGCCCAACGTGTGCTTCATATGCACTCTGACCGTGGTGGCGAATTCGTCCCCGGTCACCTTGGCCAATTCTGTCTTGCAGAGGGCACCACGCAGACGTACTCGCCCTCAAACTTGCTGCAGCAAAATTAGATTGTTGAGCATCACGTTGGCTTGGTCATGGACATCACAATAGTTGCAACGACCGTCGACTCCATCTGTATCTGCACTTCATCCTTAAACTTCTTTTACCCTCGAATGATCGACCATCTGTTCCTTCCCCATCGTCTCTCCTAGTCTAGGGTCCCATGTTTCCTCCAAGGTCTCGTCCTCGGCTCCTGTCTCTCTGCGTTCACAAGTGTCTCCTTCTCTGTCTCCTGACCCGTCTCCTGATTCTCACACCGGGTCCTTCGCCCTTCTAGTGCTCGCCCTGTGTCTCATCTTTTTAGTATCCTCTCTATGCTCTCCGTTCTTACGTCTCTCATGCTCCGCTACCTTCTATCCTCCGTTTGCCTACTCCGCCGTCCCTTATTGTATCAGAATGTGATGTTTGTCTAGCCTGCAGTGGGGTACTCTATAGCGAGTACAGCCCAAATTAGGGTTTGCAACATGTACTCAACTGCCTGCTAATGAAAACCCTCTTTCATGTTTCTACTCTCTGCCTAACCTTTCGACATGTTGTCCCCTTGACTCGGTTCTCTGGCTTTCTCATGTCGCTCGCCTTACGGTCTCCTGTGCCTTTCCTCGGTTGTTACTGGCCCCAGCCAGCTCCAAAAATCTCGTACGCAGTTGACGACCACTTGAAGAATGTCAACTAGCACCACGTTGCATCCGTCAATTTCCGACAATGCGCCGACGACAATCCTGCCGACGTCAGCCGCCACACAGAATTAACTCCGAAAATGACGAAACGAACACTGCTAACTCACGCAATGATTGCGACGACAGCAAAAGCTGTCCGCCACCCGGGGGGAGGGAGGCCACGGTCCATCTCGACCGTCGAGGGCAAGGATCCGTCGGTGCAGCAGGAGCGCCCGTAAAAACATGGCCGCTAGGAGCAACTATCCCTTCTCCTGGTCGGCTACTACGCTGCTCCTGTCACCACGTCATCCTTCCTAATCCCCCTCCCCCCCCCCCCCCCCCGAGGGGTAATACACTCTAAAAAACGGGGAAGCTAGGAAAGTAGCTCTGATACCAAGTGTTATGAGTTTTACTAGACAGAGTGCGCGGAAGACTTTATAAAGAAGATGTGATTACAGAATTACTGAATGGCGATTGAATGAACAAAGGAAGCATTTATAGGGCGAATACGTGCTAGGCGAGAACCTCGTGACGTGCGAGGTTTGGATGTGTCGCGATTGGTGCGAGGCGACTCGGAGTTGATTTGGTACGGAAATGTAGGCCGAACCCAAACTGAAGCGAAGAGTTCGGGCTGTCCTCGCTAGGAGCAGCCTCTTGAGTAATGAATGTATAGGACTATGTGGGTGTAACAAAGTACCCCACCTTCGACCGCCCCTACCACACGGAAGAATGCGCTGTGTTGAGGTGGCGGAACGGGTACCACTAGGTCGAATGCATTCTTGGAATTGGGCAATGTCGGTTACAAGGGTAGGCTGCCTACGCAGGGTGGCCGAGAAGAGCTGCTGATGGATTATTTTCTCGAGCATAATCTCAGATGTCAGTAACACCGACCCCGTGGCTCTTCCCGATTGGACCCGAAGTTCGCTGTAAGTCCCATGGAAAACCTCAGATATTTCAGGGTAAATCGTCCATTGATCCGATGGTTCCCATCTCAACCACTTGTGGTCGGTCTTGCCCGTGCAGTTCACGCGCGTCTACCCCCCTCCTTCCATCAATCAGCAACACCCTCCAATCTCCAATTCTTGGCTTGCAATGCAAGATTGCTCTTCAACTTCAAATTGCAAAAAGCACTCAGCTTTGGGTTACTTCAACTTGCTTAGTAAGAATGTCGATTAGCTTTGAGAGGAAATGCGCTGCGCGCTCCTCGACTCAGGAACGCGAGGTGCGGCAATTGAGTCGACGTTCTGATGCAATTATTAATTGATTGGCGACAGTCATAGTGGCGAATTCGTGTTACATTTCGAGCGGTCAAGGAGGCGACATTCACAAAGCGCCAGCGTCCGCATATTTATTTCGTTCTCATTCCAATAGCCCGGCCAAATTCGGCTCATAGTTAACGTTTATCTCAGTATACATGCACTACTGAAAATAGCATTCTTTTCCTCGCGATTTTTGCGAGCCGTATTGCCTGACAACACCTGGCGGCGCGCGGCGAAGCATGGCTACTAACGGCGTTGCTGCTTGTGAGTGTAATGACAGAGAGTGATTAGGTGAGTCCGAGCCGAGGGGCGGTAGGTAAGAAACACGAACGTTGCGTCGTCAATTTTCGCACTGGTTCTTGAAATTGTTCGCGCGTCGCGACGACAGCTCGCTGCAAGTCGCCCTCGTTCGCGAAGACGTCGCGACGCAGTGAAGTGAACCACCGACCATCACTCGTGGAGGTCGCACCCTCAGCTTTGCTTCTGGAGCAACTCACATCGCTTCTGCCGCCTAACTTCCCTCATTTCCCCCTCCTCTTCCCCCTCCTCTCCTCTCTCCTCTCTCCCCTCTACCCCCACCCCCCCCCCGCGCCTCAATCCCCCACCCCTTCTCCCTTCCTCCAGCTAGCCCATCCGTTGGCCACGAATGGCAGGCGGACCCTGGCGTGGCAGTGACAATAGCGGAGGAGGACACAGGAGGCGACGCGAAGGCAGCAGACAAGGCAGGAGGAAAGACAGCGGACGGCGCAGCAGCACAGGATGGCGAGGCGCAACAGAAGGAGGGAATGCTGCAAGGCGTCGCGGAAAAGGATTCTAGCCGGCGGCCGAGCTGGCGTGGGTGTGCTGACATTTACCAGGGTGGGCGCGGGGACGTGCGGCGGATGACGCGGGGGGAGCGGCAGCGCGTGGTGGAGGCGGCGCTGGGGACGACTGAGCAGGACAACGAGGCGGTGATGCGGAAGATGCGAGCCCGCCTGGAGAGGTGGGCGGGTTTTAAAGGGGTGCAAGGCGGTCAGGTAGTGCGTGGGATTTGGGAATGTGCACCTGGCAGGGGTAGGGGAGGCGGCGCTGGGGACGACCGAGCAGGACAACGAGGTGGTGGGGGGGGAAGATGCGCGTTCGGTTGGGCAGGTGGGCTGGCTTATAAGGGGTGCAATGCGGTCAGGTAGTGCGTGGGATTGGGGAGGGTGCACCTGGCAGGGGTGGTAAAGGCACAGGCGCTGGGGACGAGTGAGCAGGGCAGCGAGGCGGTGATGGGGAAGATGCGCGCCCGGATGGAGAGGTGCGTGGGGGAGGAACAGCAGGGGTGTGGGGTTCTGGAGGGTTCGCATGACAGGGAGGCACAGGCGCTGGGGACGACCGAGCAGGTCAACGAGGCGGTGATGCGGAAGATGTGCGCCCTGCTGGAGAGGTGGGCGGGCAGAGGAAAGGAAAGGATCAGGCCTGTGGGGTTGTAAGGAGAGGAGAAGGTGCGTGAGTGTGCAAAGGGAGGAACAGGTGCGTGGGCAGGGGCAAGGTGTCGGACAGGTGTGTGTGATTCAAGAGGGTCCAGTCCACAGGCGGGGAGGCACAGGCATTCAGTGTATGTGCATGCAATGCAATCAACGCTTCCCCTGTTCCATGAAACTTTTCCTGCATTACTTGTCGTATGGCCGCATGCATGCATGGTGCATTACACACACATTCACGGCTGCACATACACATACACGTGCACGCATGCACACACCCATGCATGGCTACACATTCGGCTGCACATACACATACGTGTATGCACACATGCACATGCACATGCACATGGCAGGGTGGGTCTCGAGCCCCCAACAGTGGAGATTCGATTCGAGGACGTCAGCGCGGAGGCGCGGGTGTATGTGGGAAAGAGAGGCCTCCCCACTCTCCCTAACTTCACTCTCAATATGATCACAGTAAGTCACTCAACTCGTCTCGTGTTTATGTTTCGAGGTGCCCAAGTAGACGAGAGCCTCCTCAATCCAACACTCAACTCAACATGATCACAGTAGGTGTTATATAGATCCGCTCTTGCACCTTGGCATGTCAATGCGCTCGCTCTGGATCCACCTGCTGCGCCGCTCTCTGCGCTCCCCTCTCCTCCTCTGCCGATGTTCCTTCTCTTTCTATCTCACCCTATCCTCACCTCACCTCCCAGTCATTACTGCACATCATGCATCTGCTGCCAAACAAGAGGCCCCATCCTCCACTCATGTATCTTCTGCCCTTCTCCCATCCGTGCCTCTCCACTTCCACCCCAACCACTGCCTCTCGCCCCTCTCTCCCCCTCTCATCCCAGTCAATGCTACGCAGCATGCGTCTGCTGCCAGACAAGAGGCGTCGATTCCCAATCCTCCATGGATGCAGCGGCGTGCTCAAGCCGGGCAGGTGAGGGTTTAAGCCGGGAAGATTCGGGCAGTTGGGTTGGGCTGGTGGGGATTTAAGCTTTGAAGGCGGGATGTAAGCCGGGCAGGGTTCATGCCGGGCAGGCGGGGGTTTGAGCCGGGCAGGTGTGAGGGTTTAAGCCAGACAGATGCAGCAGGAAGGTCAGGGTTTAAGCCAAACAGGCGAGGGCTTTAGCAAGGCAGGTGAGGATCTTAGCCAGGCACGTGGGGTGTTAAGCCAGGCAGTAGGTGAGGTGCATTTGATATCCCTTTGTTCTTAGCTTTTGTCATAAGTTACCCCTCCAAACCTCCCCCTTCATCCCCTCTCCCCACTTCCCTCCACCCCATCCTCTCCACACGTGCATTCTTGTGCTCATCTTGCTCCTCTCACTCCCCCAGTTTCATGTATCAAATGGTATTTGAGAATTCTTAAAAAACATTCCGACCTCGCCTGCTCCACTGCCTCCCCCAGCTCCTAACCCCTGCCTACCCCAACCGCTCCATTCCCTTCCCCCCCCTTTTCACAGAATGACGCTTCTGCTGGGCTCCCCTGGTGCAGGGAAGACCACCCTCATGACCGCCCTGGCTGGTCACCTGGACAGACACCTGAAGGTATGATGGGCACCTGGACAGACACCTGAAGGTATGATGGGCACCTGGACAGACACCTGAAGGTATGATGGGCTCCTGGACAGACAACTGAAGGTATGATGGGCACCTGGACAGACACCTGAAGGTATGATGGGCACCTGGACAGACATCTGAAAGTATGATGGATGCCACTTGGACAGACACCTGAAGGTATGGAGGCCACCTGGACAGACACGACAGACACCTGAACTGAAGGCGTGTCTGTGAGGTACATGATTACCCCTCACTAGCATGGTCTTTTCTCTTGATTGGCCTTGGCACTGGCATGTCTTCTAAGGAGAGCATATCCGTCTTTTGTTCTTGAGAATGTAAAAAACTCGCCCTAGCACAGTGTTTTAAGGAGATGTCTTCAATGGGCTTCCTTTTTAAGCATGCTGTTGCATGGGAGCTAAGCGCCCTAGACGCAGGGCACGTCTTTATCCACTCAGCATGGGAGAGCCACATCCATGCGTTTATGCTCATTGCGTCCTCTCTTATCCTTTCTTGCTTTCTTTTTCCCTTTTGCCTCCTGTGTTCCTTCCTCCTTGGCAGCTCACTGGCTCCATCACGTACAACGGGCAGCAGCTGAAAGATTTCAACCCTGCCCGAACAGCATCCTATGTGCCCGAGTGTGACGAGCACATAGGCGAGATGACCGTGCGGGAGACAATGGACTTTTCCGCCCAGCTGCAAGGGAGGGGCCTGTTTCGAGGTGAGAAAACATGAGAGCTGTGCGGCTGTGCCCCTTACTTGAGTGAATTGACTATAACATTTCGGCTGAGGTGCAATGATATGACAGCTGTGCTCCTTCCTTGAGTCGGCTCATGGATGACATTAGTGTCCCTTGGGCCGACTAAGAAGTCACTTTGGTGTTGAGGATGCCCCCACTTGAGACGGGATTTCAAGCTCAGGAGGAGGGTGGGTCAGTGGGTTTCGGAAAAAGCAGGATGAGGGGGTTCGTGGGGGCAAGAGCAGTTGGGGGATGAGGGCGATTGGGGGATGAAGGCATCTGGGAATGGTGTCGATTAGGAGGTGGTGACAAGAAGACTGCATGGTTCTGAAGCACACATACTGCTTAGAACGATTGTACTGCGATATCCTGGTTTGTGCAGCCAATTGTTATTGTGCCTCTCATTCAGTCGTGTATGTGTGTGTATGTGTGCGTGTGAGTGCAGTGCTGGTGGAGGAGTTGGAGAGGAGGGAGAAGGAGATGGGAGTAGAGCCGGATGTGGCAACAGCACTGCTCATGAAGGTGAGTCAACGCTGGTCAAGTTTGGGTCAACGCTGGTCAAGGGTTAGTCAATGCTGATCAAGTTTGTGTCAAGCTTGGTGACCTGGTCGAGTCAACGTTGGTTGAGTCAACCCTGGCGAAGGCGAGTCAAATCTGATGAAGCCGAATCATTTCGAGTCAAGGCTGTCCCGTCTCCTGTTGATTGTTTCTTTAATGTCCCTCTCTTCCCCCGCCTCTCCCCTCTATTATCTCCCCTCTCCCCTCTATTATCTCCCCCTCTCCCCTCTATTATCTCCCCCTCTCCCCTCTATTATCTCCCCTCTCCCCTCTATTATCTCCCCCTCTCCCCTCTATTATCTCCCCCTCTCCCCTCTATTATCTCCCCCTCTCCCCTCTATTATCTCCCCCTCTCCCCTCTATTATCTCCCCTCTCCCCTCTATTATCTCCCCCTCTCCCCTCTATTATCTCCCCCTCTCCCCTCTATTATCTCCCCCTCTCCCCTCTATTATCTCCCCCTCTCCCCTCTATTATCTCCCCCTCTCCCCTCTATTATCTCCCCCTCTCCCCTCTATTATCTCCCCCTCTCCCCTCTATCATCTCCCCCTCTCCCCCTTCTCTCTCTCCACCCATCGCATCACCGGCAGGCCATGGCAGTGGAGGCCAATCCATCCAACATGGTCACCAACTACATCCTGCAGGTGTGATGACATTCACACAACAAATGTGACGGTAGCACGTGTGACTCAAGGTGGAAAAAAACGGTTGTCGAAAAAAACGATTGTTTTTTTCGATTGTATTTTACGGTATATTTTGGGAAAAAAACGTCGTTTTTTTGTTAGGGAAAAACGAACGCCAATTTTTCAAAGTTGCTGTTTTGAGCAAACAAGCGCCCCACAACATCTCTTGATGCATCAACAGCACTCATAACGGCCCTCTCGTTCTATTTATGAAGAGTTGCCAATGTTATAGCAGCAGTTAAGAGATTTCCTGAAAAAAACGATGGTTTTTTTCCACCCAAATGCCACATTTTGTTGAAACCGTTTTTTATCGTTTTTTACGATTGATTCTTACGATACGGTATTTTACGATCAAATTTTGAAAAAAACGTCGTTTTTGTGCACCTTGTGACTCTAACACATGTGACTGTTATGGTACTACCTACCTACCAATCCGTCCAACATGGTCACCAACTACATCCTGCAGGTGTGATTCAAGCAGGTGTGTTGTGTGTGATTCAAGCAGGTGTGTTGTGTGTGATTCAAGCAGGTGTGTTGTGTGTGATTCAAGAAGGTGTGTTGTGTGTGATTCAAGCAGGTGTGTTGTGTGTGATTCAAGCAGGTGTGTTGTGTGTGATTCAAGCAGGTGTGTTGTGTGTGATTCAAGCAGGTGTGTTGTGTGTGATTCAAGCAGGTGTGATTCTAACACGCATGACTGTTATGGTAGTACCTACCTACCTGTCCGTCCAACATGGTCACCAACTACATCCTTCGGGTGGGCTGTGAGTGACTCACACAGACGGGTGTGACTCTATCAAGTTTGACACAAGCAGGTTTAAGCGAAGCAGGTGTGGCTCTAGCAGGTGGGACGACTAACTCTCAAACTTGTGAGAACATGCAGCAAGGCTATACCTGCAATGAGATCTTCCAGAGTGTGCCTGCATTCGTGTTACATTGTTCCCTCAGCAGCACATTCTTTTAAGTTCCTGTGCTTTTCCAATCTCTTTGTTCCATGCATCCCCCCCCCCCCCCCTGTTCTCTCCTTCCCCTCACGCGATCCCGTTTCTCTCCTGGTTATTGCGCCTGCCTCTTCCCCTGCCCTGCCCCTCTGTATGTACACATGTCCCCTGGCAAACCGTACGTGCCTGCCTGCTTGCTGGGCAGCTGCTGGGGGTGGGCATCTGTGCCGACCCAGTGGTGGGCAGGGCAAGGCAACCCCATCGTGGCACCGCAATATCTCCCTGCTCGCACGCCCCCTTGTTCCCGTATCCCTCTTTCCCATGCCCCCGGCCAAACTCAACGTGCCTGCTGGGCAGCTGCTGGGGTTGGAAATCTGTGCGGACACAGTGGTGGGGCACCCCACCCCAATCGTGCATGGCATCTCAGGCGCCTCAGAAGCACATTGGTCCCATGCCATGCCCTTCTGTTCTCGTATCCCTCTGTTCTCATGCGACCTGGCAAGCCTAACTTGTTGCTCGGCAGCTGCTGGGGCTGGGCATCTGTGCCGACACGGTGGTAGGAAACGCTCTCATGTGCAGCTTTTGAGGCACCGCAAAACCCCCCTTGTTCCCATATCCCTCTTTTCCCGTGCCCCCTGGCAAACCCAATGTGCCTGCCTGCTTGTCAGAAGCTGCTGGATTTGGCATCTGTGCCGACACAGTGGTGGGCAACGCTCTCGTGCGCGGCATCTCAGGTGCCTCAAAGGCCCCTCTGTTCCCGTGCCCCCGTTTTCCCACACCCCCCTGTCCCCATTCCCCTGTGTTGCTCGGCAGCTGCTGGGGCTGGGCATCTGTGCGGACACGGTGGTAGGAAACGCTCTCGTGCGCGGCATTTCAGGCGGCCAGAAGAAGCGCCTCACCACAGGTGCGTGGGGGACACAAGTGCATCGACACAAGTGCATCGACACAAGTGCATCAACACAGATGCATCTTTGGTTGCTCGCTCGGCAGCTTGCGTGGAATCTCAAGCGGCCGGTAGAAACGGCTCACCACAGGTGAGTTACCTGTGAGGGGCAGAAGGCGCCTCACCACGGGTGGGTCGGGGATAGAAGGCGAGGAGGTAAGCATGCAGCAGGTGGTGCGGATAGGTGTGTTCACCACCACTAGCCGCCCACAATGTTCCCTTCCCATTGCTGCTCTACTCTACTCTCCCATTCAAACCCGTCACCTCTCTCACTCGCCCTCTCTCCCTCACAAACTGATCTTCCAGGCAAGAGCTGGTGGGAATGCGACAGGTGCTGCTGAAGGACAAAATCAGCACGAGCCTTGACTGGTCCACTGCCTTCACCTCCCTCCCACTCATTTCTTTTTCTCCCTAAACCCCAAACTTTGAACCCTTTCAGGGGAGGAGCTGGTGGGACTGCGGCAAGTTCTCCTGATGGACGGGATCAACACTGGGCTCGACTCCTTCACCACCATTCACATATCGCTCTCACTCATCCCCATCTTCCCCCCTAAACCCCGTACCCAAACTTGAACCCTAAACTTTGCCATGCAGGGAGTTCGGTAGGCATGCGGCAAGTTCTCATAATGGCCGAGACCAGCACTGGGCTTGACTCCTCCATCACCTTCCTCATCTCCGTCCTCATTCCTTTACCTCTCTAAACTCCTAACCCCAAACCCAAACCCAGTACCAAAGCGCGAACCGGAACCCTAAACCTCGTCAGGAGAGGAGCTGGTGGGCATGCGGCAGGTGCTCCCGATGGATGGATGGGGCCAGCAGGGGCCGCGACTCCCCCACCACCTTCTTCTCCCCCCAACTCATTCCCTTACCTCCTTAAACCCCAAACCCTGAACCAGGTGAAGAGCTAATGAGCATGTGGCAGTGTTGCTAAAGGACGAAATCAGCACGGGCCTCGACTCCTCCACCACCTTCCCCATCGCCCTCCCATCATTCCTTTACCTACCTCCCTACTAAAACCCTAAATATTGTCAGGCGAAGAGATGGTGGGCATGCGGCAAGTGCTCCTAAAGAGCGAGATTCGGCACGTGCCTTGACTCCTCCACGACCTTCCCCATCTCCCTCCCACTCATTCCTTTACCTCCCTCTTAAAACCCTAACCTTGTCAGGCGAGGAACTAGTGGGCATGCGGCAAGTGCTCCTAATGGATGAGATCAGCACGGGCCTCGATTCCTCCACCACCTTCCTCATCACGCGCTGCCTACGCCATCTCACCCATGCGCTGCGCACCACCACGCTCATCGCGCTGCTGCAGCCCGCCCCCGAGACCTTTGCTCTCTTTGATGACGTGATGCTGCTGGCGGAGGGGCACATGGTGTATCACGGGCCCCGGGAGGGCGTCATGGGGCTGTTTCGGTCGCTGGGGTTTGATTGCCCTCCAAGGAAAGGAATCGCAGATTTCCTGCTCGAGGTGAGAGAGGGAACTGGGGTGAAGGGGGTTTGATTTGAATTGGCTTGGTGTGACTGCTGGTGGAGGGGCACGTGGAGGTGTATCACGTGCCCAGGGAGGGTGTCATACGGTTCTTTCAGTCACTTGGGTTTGACACGGCACGACACAACACGACACGACCAGGTAGCCTTTCAGCGCCTCAGAACACAACACAGCAATGCATATCTCCGTCTCCTCTCACTCCCTCTTCTCCCCGTTCCCATCCCTCTCCCCTCTCTCTTCTCCCCTCTCACTCCCTCTTCTCTCAGGTGACGTCAGCCAAGGACCAGGCGCAGTACTGGGTGGATAAGTCGCAGCCACACGAGTTCATGGCAGCGGGGGACATGGCTGCTGCCTTCCGCCACTCCGCTCTCGGCAAGCAGAGACAGGCAGAGCTGGCGGTGAGTGCAGCAGAGACAGGCAGAGCTGGCGGTGAGTGTTAGAAGTGCCAGACTCTGCAGGGTGCAAAATTTCGCCGAATTTTTCATTTTTTGGGCGAAAATTTCGCCATCGAAATTTTCGACCGAATTTTTCGATAATTTCGGTCCCCCTCCCAAAAAACAAAATGGTGGAAAATTTCGCTGAAATTTTCAGGAAAAAAAAAAGAGAAATTCGTGTGTAAATTGACAAAATTCATGGGTGGACATTGTAAAGGCATTTCGCCGCCAGATCTAGGCGGATCTGGCATTTCGCCATTAGATCTAGGGCGGATCTGGCATTTCGCCATTAGATCTAGGGCGGATCTGGCATTTCGCCATTAGATCTAGGGCGGATCTGGCATTTCGCCATTAGATCTAGGGCGGATCTGGCATTTCGCCATTAGATCTAGGGTGGATCTGGCATTTCGCCATTAAATCTAAGGCGGATCTGGCGTTTCGTAGCCAGAGAAATTTAGGCAGTTTTGTTTTTTTGTTTTGTTTTTTTTTTTTTTAATGTCTATTAAAATTTCGCCGAAATTTTACAAAAAAGGCCGTAATTTTCGATCGAAAAATTCGGTTCGAAATTTTCGCTTAGCGCAATTTTCCACCTTGAGACTCTGCGTTTATCTCTAACAGTGAGGGCAGCAAGATGGCAGAGCTGCTGTTAGTGTGTGCGGTGTCGACCTTTCAAACAGCACCACTCATTGACGCCCCCTGCCTTTTTCTCTTTCCAACTTCGCTGCGTCCATTTTTCTCACTTACCCTTCCCAGTTCCCTTTCCCACCGTTCTTCTATTTTTATTCCTTTCTCACACCCCCATCTTTGTTCTCTGCAGACCCCCTTCCAGCCAACAGACTCGTCCACGTCAGCACTGGAAACAGCCCCCTACGCCCTCTCGCCCACTCAGATGCTGACAGCTGTCTTTGCCCGGGAGTGGCTGCTGATGAAACGCAATGCACTGCTCTATATGGCTCTCATCATGCAGGTGTGTCACGTGGGGTGTGTTGGGGTAGGGTGTGGTGGGGGGTGTGATGTGGTGTGGTGTGGTGTGGGTGGTGTGTGTGTGGTGTGGTGTGGTGTGGTGTGGTGTGTGTTTAATGCTGTGTGTGTGTGGCACGGTGTGTGTGGCACGGTGTCTGTAGCACAATGTATGGATGCAGTGTGAAAGGGTGAGACCTCATGTACCATGCACGTGTACTGACATACACATATGGTGTCGGTCGCATGCAAGCACATTCACCTGGGAGTGCATACTCTTCTTTCACGGCATCACCATGGTGTTCTTCAACGCCGTCTGCCAGCTCCTGCTCTCCACCCCTCATACCCCTCTCCACCCCTCTTCACCCCTCTCCCTCCCTTCCAATCCCTCTCCACCCCTCCCCACCACTCTCCACCGCTCGCCACCAGGTGATATTCACGAGCCTCATGTCGTCGACGGTGTTCCTGTACACACAATGCTCCATCACAGCCAAGGACGGCAACATCTACCTGGGAGTGCTCTTCCTGGGCATCACCATGATGCTCTTCAACGCCTTCTTCAAACTGACCCCTCTCCACCCCTCTCCACCCCTGTCCACCCCTCTCCACCCCTTTCCACCGCTCTCCACCCCACTTTACCCCCCTCCACCGCTCTCCACCAGGTGATATTCACGAGCCTCATGTCATCCACAGTGTTCCTGTACACACAGCGGTCCATCACAGCCAAGGACGGCAACATCTACCTGGGAGTGCTCTTCCTGGGCATCACCATGATGCTCTTCAACGCCTTCTTCCGGCTTTTTCGATTCATCCCTCTCTACCCCTCTCATACCCCTATCCACCCCTCTCCACCCCTCTCCATCCCTCTCGGCCGCTCTCCACCGCTCTCCTTCAGGTGATATTCACGAGCCTCATGTCGTCCACGGTCTTCCTGTACACACAGCGGTCCATCACAGCCAAGGACGGCAACATCTACCTGGGAGTGCTCTTCCTCGGCATCACCATGATGCTCTTCAACGCCTTCTTCGAGCTGCTCCTCTTCACGCTGCGCCTGCCCATCTTCTTCAAGCAGCGCAACACGCGCCTGTACCCCGCGTGGGCGTGGGTGCTGCCCATGGCTGTGCTCTCGCTGCCGCTGTCCGCCGTGGTGGCCGCGCTGTGGACCGCTGGCACGTACTTTCTTGTTGGGTTCGCTCCGGATGCTGGCAGGTGGGCATGGGGTGGATGGGGGGATGGGCAGATGGGTTGATGGGTGGATGGGCGTATGGGCGTATGGGTGGATGAACGAATGGCCGAATGGCTGGAAGGGATGACAGGGAATTGCAAAAGAGTCAAGAGAGTATCCAACCTCATCCCTTCGTCCCCGCTCCCCAACTCCCCCGTTCACCAATCCCACCTGCCGCCAGGCTCTTCATCCAGCTGCTAATCTCCATCCTCGTCCACCAGGCCGTAGCGGCTCTCTTTTGCCTGCGCCCCGAGCCATCTTAAGAGTCTTTCCTCCTCTCCTTCCTCCTTCCATTCATCTCCTACCTGTCTTACAAGGCATTCCTCCTTCCACTCCTCCCCACCTTCCTCATCTCCCTCCCCCTCCCCCCTCCCATCCCTCGCAGGTTCTTCATACAGCTGCTACTATTCTTCCTCATCCATCAGACCGGGGTGGCTCTCTTCCGTCTGCTGGGAGCCCTCGGCCGCAACCTCGTGGTCTCCATCACCCTCGGCAACTTCGCCTTCATCATTCTCTTCCTACTGGGGGGCTTTATCGTTGCCAAAGGTGTGCCACTTGTCGCTCTGCCACGTGTCGCCCTGCCACCTGTCGGTCTGCCACCTGTCGCCCTGCCACCTGTCGCCCTGCCACCTGTCGCCCTGCCACCTGTCGCCCTGCCACCTGTCGCCCTGCCACCTGTCGCCCTGCCACCTGTCGCCCTGCCACCTGTCGCCCTGCCACGTGTCGCTCTGCCACCTGTCTCTCTGCCACGTCTCTCCCCCTCCAACAGAGGACATCCAGCCATGGTTCATCTGGGCCTAAAGCATGCATGTCGCCCATCACTCACACGCACACATCATTTGAACCCCACCCCCTCCCCTTCCATCACTCCTGCCATGCCCTATTGTCCAACCCCCCGCCTCCCCTCACACTGCTCCCCTCTTTTTCCCCCACTTCCACCCCCCCCCTTCCCTCCTCTCCCTCCCTCCCCCCTCGCAGACGACATCCAGCCGTGGTTCATCTGGGCCTACTGGATGTCCCCCATCACCTACACGAACGATCCATTTGAACCTCCCCCGCTTTCTCCCCAACACTCCTCTTATGCCTGCTTACCCTCCCCTTCCCAACCCCCCCTTAACCCCCCTCCCCTCCCCCCATCCCCCCTCCCCTCAACAGACGACATCCAGCCGTGGTTCATCTGGGCCTACTGGATGTCGCCCATCACCTACACGCAGAACGCCCTCTCCGTCAACGAGCTGCTGGCGCCCAGGTGGCAAAAGGTGAGTGGAGCCAGGTGTCAGCACCCATCACCTACACGCAGGACGCCCTCTCAGTCAACGAGCTCCTCGCCCCCAGGTGGCAGAAGGTGAGTGGCGTGGAAGTGACCACTGGTGACTGGCGTGCCAAGTGGCAAAAGGTGAATTGCGTGCCATGTGGCAACATGTGAGTGGCGTGCCAGGTCGCTGGCTGGTGAGCGGCGGCGTGTGAGGTTGCGACAGGTGAGTTGCGTGCAGTTGACGAATAGTGAACAGCAGCATGCCAGGTGGCGAACAGTGAGCGGCGTGCCAGGTGGCGAACAGTGAGCGGCGTGCCAGGTGGCGAACAGTGAGCGGCGTGCCAGGTGACAAAAGGTGAGTGGCGTGCCCAGATGGTAAACTTTGTGTGGGGTTCTGTCCTCCAGAAGTGAAGGTTATGTTGTGCCTCTTTCCCAACCACCCCTCCCTCCCACCACAGCACCACTAATCCCCAACTCCACTGTGGGTCTGGTGGTGTTGGAGGGGAGGGGCCTGCCAACGGAGAGCAAGCAGATGGGTGTGGATCGGTGTGGACGCTCTCATCGGTTGTTCAATTCCCCTCCCCCCTTTCCGCTCCCCCTTCCCATCCTCCCCTTGAGTTTCCCATCCACCTCACAGTCCACAGCACCACTAATCCCCAACTCCACGGTGGGTCTGGTGGTGCTGGAGGGGAGGGGCCTGCCAACGGAGAGCAAGTGGGTGTGGATTGGCGTGGTCGCGCTCATCGGCTTCACTCTGCTATTCAACTTCCTTGTTGTCGTCGCCCTCTCCATCCTCCACCGTCAGTACTGCTGCATGCATGCATGCCGCGTTGCCCTCACTCCATCGTCCATCGTCAGTACCAAAGGAATCTAGCAACCCCATTGCCCATTGTGTTGCTGCATGAATGCCATGCCCGATTGCTGCTCTCTCGTTGTCCCCTCTCCACCCTCCACCATCATTTCCTTTTAACTGCGTCTTTTCGTTTGGGACCAGCTTTACCCTTGAATATCCTCTTTTTTTTTTTTTTTGAAGACCATTTTGTTTTTTTTCACCTTTTCACTGTAAACGTCCTACTTCTCCTCACCCCACCCTCCCCTTGCCATCAACCCCACCCCATACCATGCCACGTCATCATCCAACGTCAGCATGGGCCAAGGACCAGCCAGTGACAGAAGAGCAACTGGAGGCGAGAATAGAAGAAGCAGTGGGCCTCACAGCCGCCACCGCCACGAGCAGGCGCCTCTCAAAGCACTACAGCGCTGGCAGCCGGCGCAACTCCGAGAGCCATGGCAGGGGGAGGGGCACGGATGGGGATGCGATGCCTGTGAGCATCAGCATCACGCGCAGCCAGTCGGGGCAGAGCGCCCGCTCTGTTGGGTCGCGCAGCGGAGCCCTCGAGCGGTACTGCGAGCGAGGTGAGAGAGAGGAGGGAGGCTGAAGTCAAGTTGAGGTACAGGTAAGAGAGTTTGCGGAATGTGAGGTTAAACAAAAGAGAAAAGTGAACGCACGCTGAGCTGGGACAGTGTGAGAGAAGGAACTAAAAAACCAGTTGTTGGGAAGGAGGACGTGGGTGGTTGAGAGAGGTGAAGAGAGTACAACTGAAAGACAGGGAAAAACTCTTCTCCCCCTCTCCACCCCTCCATTTCTATCCTCTCTCCATCTTTTCCACCTCGCCTGCTCTGCTGCAGTCTCCTCCACTCACTCCATGGGGGACATTATCGAGCCTACCCTCTCCCGGGACCTCTCTGTACCGCCCTCCACCGCTCGCGGCATGGTGCTCCCGTTCCTCCCGCTCCCCCTCGCCTTCCACAACGTGTGCTACTGGGTTGACATGCCGCCCGCCATGCGCGCCGAAGCCGCCCACTCCCCTGGCAACTCCGCCGCCCGCCTGCAGCTTCTGAGAAACGTCTCGGGGGCGTTCCGGCCGAAAGTGCTTACCGCGCTGGTGGGGGTGACGGGCGCGGGGAAGACAACCCTCATGGATGTGCTAGCAGGGAGGAAGACCGGGGGGTATATAGAGGGAGAGGTGATGGTGGCGGGGCATCCGAAGGTGCACGAGACGTTTGCGCGCGTGTCGGGGTATTGTGAGCAGAGTGACATTCACTCGCCGCAGGTCACGGTGCATGAGAGCCTGCTGTTCTCCGCGTGGCTGCGGCTTCCCAGAGACATCGACCGGGACGTGCGGGAGGTGCGTGCATGAGTGGGTGTGTGGGTGTGTGAGGGAGGTGGGTAAGAGGTGGGCAAGAGGGGTGTGAGATAGGTTGGGTGGAATGGCCTGAGAGAATGGGGAGAGAGTGATGAGTGAGGGAGGAGAGGGTGGTGAGTGTGTTGGGGTATTGTGTGTTGGCGTACAATTTGCATTGATCAGACTTCTCTGTCTCCTTGCCGTCACCACCCATTTGCTCTACGTCTTCCCCCTGTAATCCTACAACACACCACACCGCACTGCACCGCACTCAACCAGGAGTTTGTGGAGGATGTGATGGAGCTGGTGGAGCTGGACGTGCTGAGGGGCGTGCTGGTGGGCCTTTCAGTTGGCTCCTCTCTCTCCCCCCTCGCCCCCCACTTGCCGCTCTCTCCACCACACCACACCGCACCGCACCACACCACACGTTGTCAAAACCGCGCTGCACCCCCTTCCACCAGGAATTCGTGGAGGAGGTGATGGAGCTGGTGGAGCTGGACGTGCTGAGGGGCGCGCTGGTGGGGCTGCCGGGGGTGAGTGGGCTGAGCACAGAGCAGAGGAAGCGCCTCACCATCGGTGTTGAGCTCGTGGCCAACCCCTCCATCATCTTCATGGATGAACCCACCTCAGGTAATGCCTGGATGAACCCATCTCAGGTAATGCCTGGATGAACCCACCTCAGGTAATGCCTGGATGAACCCACCTCAGGTAATGCCTGGATGAACCCACCTCAGGTAATGCCTGGATGAACCCACCTCAGGTAATGCCTGGATGAACCCACCTCAGGTAATGCCTGGATGAACCCACCTCAGGTAATGCCTGGATGAACCCACCTCAGGTAAGGCCTGGATGAACCCACCTCAGGTAAGGCCTGCTGCATGCACCAACCTCAGGTGAAGCTTGCAGGCACCCACCTCAGGTACTGCCTGGACGAGCCCACCTCAGGTACTGCCTGGACGAGCCCACCTCAGGTACTGCCTGGACGAGCCCACCTCAGGTACTGCCTGGACGAGCCCACCTCAGGTACTGCCTGGACGAACAGGTAAGGCCTGCATGAACTAACCTCAGGTACTGCCTAGGTACCCCCTCAGGTAAGGCCTGGGAATGCCTGGCTAAAGCCTCCGCATGTGCTGCTGCTGGGCTCTCGTGGCCAACCCCTCCATCATCTTCATGGATGAACCCACCTCAGGTACTGCCTGCTGTGGGATGCACCTACCTAACGTGATGCCTGGATGAGCCCACCTTGGGTGATGTCTGGACGAGGATGCGAGGGCAGCAGCCATAGTGATGTGCACCAGTGCTCGCTGCTCGTTCCCCTCTCCCTCTTCTTTTTCCCTCTTTCCCTTTCCGCCTCTCCAGGCTTGGATGCAAGGGCAGCGGCCATAGTAATGAGAACGGTGCGCAACACGGTGGACACAGGGCGCACTGTCGTCTGCACCATTCACCAGCCGTCCACCGACATCTTTGAGGCCTTTGATGAGGTGCGCTATAGAGAGTACAAGGACAAAGGACCCTTCTGTCAAATGGGGCTGTAGTGTGCACCATTCACAAGCCGTCCACTGACATCTTTGATGCGTTCGATGAGGTGCACTATAACGAGTATAATGATGATGACAGGCCGTTCACTTGAATGAGAGACTGTGGTGTGCGTGCAGTGTGCACTATTCACCATTCACCGATAACTTTGAAACCTTTGATGAGATCTGCTACTTAAACAGAGCATGGACGTGTTGGGCTGTGCAGTCAGTCACCCAGGTTATTGGTGGGCATGCATGCACGCACCACGCACCATAGCAATGCGCACCATCCTAAGAGGCTTCTTTTAACAATCTCTAGAACACGCTTTTTTCTGTGTCCATCTGGCCTGCATTCCAGGATGGATGCTGGTGGCATGTGATAATCTTTCATCACGATTCACACACTGATATGCCTCTCTGTTCCTGTACTGCAGCTGCTCTTAATGAAGACAGGAGGAGAGGTTATATACATGGGGCCTCTGGGAGTCAACTCGAAGCATCTCATCAAGTACTTTCAGGTATCGCCATTTCCCCCTTCTCCGTCCCTTCCTCTCCCGTTGTTTCCTCTCCTGTTGTTTCCTCTCCTGTTGTTACCTCTCATGTTATTTGCTCTCCCATTAGTTCCGTTCCTTCTCCATTCCTGTGCTCCTCACATTGTTGTTTCTATTTTGGGCCGGATGTTACACACAAGCCCAACCCCACCACGTGGATGCTCAAGGTCTATTCATCAGTCATTGTGCCAGGCCATACCCGAACTGCAGCCCATCCCTGACAGCTACAACCCTGCCACGTGGATGCTTGAGGTCACTTCACACATGTTCTCGTGCTTCTAGGGCACCCAATCCCCCACTCCCCCCATCCCCTCCCACCTTCTCTCTTCCCCACCACAATTCCAGGCCATACCCGGGGTGCAGCCCATCCCTGACGGCTACAACCCGGCCACGTGGATGCTGGAGGTCACGGCGCCGGCTGCTGCTGAGAGCATCGGGGCCGACTTTGCAGAGATCTTCAGGAACTCACAGCTGTTCAGGTGAATATATAGGAGGTTGTAGCTGGTTAGATTAGTACTGTTCAAAGTCACAGCAGCTTAGGCGACAGATTTGGTATTCTCAGCGTAGAGGTCTCCACGCCTCCTGCCGGCTCCGTGCCGCTCCACTTCCCCACGCGCTACTCCACCTCTTTCCTCACGCAATTCCTCGCCAACCTTTGGAAGCGCGCTCCCTCATGTACTGCCGAGCCCCAGACTTCAACGCAGAATGCGCCCACTTCCCCTGCCTTGCCTCACGCTGCCTTCAATCTCCCCTCCACCAATTCTCCCCCTACCTTCCTGCAGGGAAAACGAGGCGCTGATCGCATCGCTCTCCACACCCCCTCCCAACTCAGCACCACTCCACTTCCCCTCGCGCTACTCCACCTCCTTCCTCACTCAGTTCCTCGCCAACTTTTGGAAGCGCTCCCTCATGTACTGGCGCGCGCCGGATTTCAACGCCGTCCGATTCTTCCTCGCGGTCTGCATCTCCCTCCTCATGGGAGCCGTCATGTTCGGGTTCGGCCACTACCACGCCACACAACAGGACGTGCTCAACGTCATGGGAGCGCTTTACGTGACGTCGCTGCTCATGGGGTGGAACGCGGGGACTTCGCTCCAGCCGATGCTGTGCACGGAGCGCACGGTGTTCTACAGGGAGCGGGCTGCGGGGCTGTACGGGTCGCTGCCGTACGCGCTAGCGCAGGGGGCGATCGAGACGCCGTATGTGGTGGTGGAGACGCTGCTGTTCTGCGTGATCACCTACGCGCTGCTCGAGCTCGAGTGGACGGCCGCCAAGTTCTGGCTGTACTGCGCGTTCATCTGCCTCACGCTGCTGTGCTTCGCGAGCTTTGGAATGATGGCGGTAGCGATCACGCCCAATGAGCTGCTCGCTGTGGTGCTCAGCGGGTTCTTTGTGATGCTCTGGAACCTCATGTGTGGTTTCCTCATCCCCAAGCCGGTGAGTTAACAGACCATTCAGCACACTCGGTAAGGTTATGGTATCTGCTTATGTGTTGTGAGCACTTGTGATCGTTGTGTGGGCGCTGCAGCACTGAGCACGTCAGCGTGCAACACCCATAACTCTTATGGCTTCACCTCAGAACGCATCCGACTTGCTGTGTCTCTGTATCCGTGGACGTGTGTGCTTGCATGTTTTCATGCCTCGTGCCATGCGTGTGTGTGCGAGCATGTGTCTTTGGTTGCTTCCAGGAAATTCCCGTGTGGTGGAGCTGGTTTTACTACATCAACCCCATCGCCTGGTCTCTCTACGGCCTCATCACCTCTCAGGTCCGTGTCATCTCCTCTCAGGTCCGTGTCATCTCCTCTCAGGTCCGTGTCATCTCCTCTCAGGTCCGTGTCATCTCCTCTCAGGTCCGTGTTATCACCTTCCAGGTCTGTGCTTGTGCCTGGTTTTGAAAATCTGTACCTTATCCACCCTCTCTTCCAGTCCCTTCTTTTCACGCCCCTCCAGTGCCCCTCCTCCCCCCCCTCCTCCTCCACTATCTTACCCCCTAAGCTCGTCTCCTTGCACCCCACTCTTGTAGCAACTCAACACTTCCGTGTCTTGCCCCCTACACTCATCTCCTCGTGCCCTATTTCACAGCAGTATTAAGAAGTTCCTGGGTTACCAGCATGATTCACTCTAATAAACCCCGCACCATTTGCCCCCTTGGCTCATCTCCCTGCTCCCCATTTCTCAGCTGGGGAACGTGCATGACTCACTCACAATCCCAGGCTATCCAGTGAAGCTCACAATGCTGCAGTCTAAACATGTGCCCGTGTTACCAGCAGAATTCACTTTCGATAACCCCCCCTCCCACACTGTTTCCCCCCTTGGCTTATCTACCTGCGCCCCATTCCTCAGCTTGGGAACGTGCTGGACTTGCTGACAATACCCGGCTACCCAGTGAAGGTCACGGTGCAGCAGTTCCTCGATCTGTATCTCGGTTACCAGCCGGAGTGGGTTGGTTACGCAAGCCTCATCCTCGTTGCCTTCTCCGCGCTCTTCTTTGTCGTTTTTGCCATTGCAATCAAAGTCATCAACTTCCAAAAACGTTAGCAGCTCTACCTATTTGTTCCAGTGATGTTTTCTGTAAGGTACGGGTGATACCCAGACAGTCTGCATCAGCAGATACTGATGACATGAAGATCCAGTAGGGTTCCCATTCCCATTATATTAGGAAACATTGTCCTTATGGGCCTTTTTTCCATAGATTCGTGTTAGGTGGACCACAGGATAGTGCTATCTATGTTTTGAAATTCACATCTAATTTTCCTGCAAAAGTATTATACCCTGGGTTGGGTCCAAACCGCTTGTATCAACAAAAACATTTTGTCCTAAACGTTTTTTTAATTACACATTTGTTCAGCGCTCAATAGCATGTATTACAAGCCGATGGTATTACACCAGATAAGTTTCTGTACAAGGTGAGACGACTTTCCATACAAGCTAATTAGTGGAGGAGAGGGAAGGAGGGAGTGGGGGAAAGCGGGGGGTGGGGGGGGGGGAGTGGGAGGGTGGGGTGGATGGGAGAGGGAGGCGTGGGGGGTGAAGAATGGGGAAGGATGGTGAGTGTTGTTGTAAGGGGGAGGAAGGGTGATCCATTCTTGCTTACGGATGTGTGTGGCATCATATAGTTTATCCGCAGTTCGACTTGGAGATCATATGTTGCAATCCCTCTACCTTGCATGTCTGACAAAGCTTCCGATAAACACCTCAGAGCTCCAACCCAACACCCTCTTTTTATTTTGTGCCTCACAGCCTGAATTCTCGTCCTTTATCTCCCTCCTCTTCGTCCTAAGTCCCCCTGCCTATCTCAACTATTCAATCTCCACAAGCCCCGCCTATCCCCACCCTACCCCTCCTCGCTGTTCCCCTTCCCCCTCCCTCTCCCCCATCCCGCCCGCCCAACCTGCTTCCCGGTTGCCTCTCTGAGCCCCTTCCCTTCTTCTCTCTTGCCTCTCGCATCCGAAACCTCCCCTTTTCTCTCACGTTGTGCTCTTTTTCTCTCACATCTTGCAACACCATTCCTCCCCTTTTCCCCCACCTCTTTCAGCCTGTAATTCTCTCGCTTCTTGCAGCGCAACCCTTACCTCCACCCACCCCACCCCTTTCCCCCCATGTTCCCTGCCGTTCATATCAAAGAAAGATACAACACTAATTTCACATTGTTTCCCAGCCTTGGCCATTCAGACCAGAACTCGTGTGTGAACAATCAACCCTTTTTAAATGCTCAGGCGTTTCATTTTCTGGCCGAAGTGCCATAGGATTCTGCGCTGTCATGTAAATGCTGAGCAACTGGCTGAGGAAACTGCCATTGGACGTGATCATGTGGTTGATGTGCGGTCGTCATGGAAGATTATTTTGGGTAACAACTCTGGAACGGGTTCGAGGCGAGTTCCGGACTCCAAAAGCTGGCCCAGGCTTTCTCTCAGAGAACACTCCAGGAGCGTCACTGAAATCTGACCCGAGACAATTAATTTTTGCACTTTTGAGTACAGATTTTGTTAGAATCTAGCAGCAGGAATGATGAACTAGCAGCATGCAGGAGTACAAGTAGTAAACCCTAATTGGGTTGTACCCCATATGGGCTACCCCACTACAGCCTAGACAATATGCAGCATATATGTTTGACACACCCCCATAGGCAAAGTGGGGGAGAACAAGGGGTCACACGACCAGTCAAGAGATGCAAAGCAAGCTCAGGGTGGATCACAACGTCACCACACATTCTGAGCACAAGCAAAGGGCCACAAGGCCAGTCCACATGCAGAGATATATATGCAACAATAACAGTGCAGTGATGACTACCTAGCAAGAGCAGGCATGCATGTATATATATAGATCACAGTACAAGCAGAGACTACAGCAAGTGTGGAAACGTAGGCACAAGACCTAACAGGGTACAAAAGCGCTGATGATCACCAGACGGAAGTGCCTTGGTGAATATATCAGCAGTGTTGGCCCGAGTGGCCACGTGACGAAGACGAAGCTGACCTCGCTGCTGCAACTCTCGAGCCAGGAAGTAACGCAGAGCGATGTGCTTCGTTCTATGCTCCAGTCTATGCTCCTAACCCAAGGCAATGGCTGCCTTGTTGTCAACGTACAGAACTGGAGGAGAACGAGGCCGCTCACCCAAGTCAGTCAGCAGGTAGGTGAGCCAGCGTAGCTCCTGTGCAGCCATGGCGGTGGCGTAGATCTCAGCCTCACAACTGGAGCTGAGAACAGAAGACGAGCGTGTAGACCGCCAAGAAACAGAGCCAGAGCCAAGGCTGAAGGTGTAACCCTGTGACGACCGCTGTGTAGTCTGGTCGTCAACCCAAGACGCGTCTGAGTGCCCAGTGAGGACAACTGGGCTCGTCCCTCCAAGCACTAGCCCCATGCCTGATGTGCTGCACAAGTAGCGCAGTACCCTCTTAGCAGCAGCCATGTGCTCAGGTCGGTGCTGACCAGGAGCCACGTAGCGAGCCAGAAGACCAAGAGGGTACGCGAGGTCAGGTCGAGTGCAAGTCATCAGGTACATGAGGCAGCCAACTAGCTCTGGGTAAGGACCACTCGGCTCTACAGACTCGTCCGAAGGTGGAGCTGAGAGGGAGTGACCTGTAGCCAGAGGAGTGGCCTGTGCTGAAGACCAGGTGAAGCCGAAGCGCTGAAGGACCTGCTGCACCATGTGTGACTGAGTCAGGGTGATGGTGCAGCGTGCTCTGTCCCGGGTGATCTGCAAGCCAAGGTAGCTGCGCAGCTCACCCAAGTCTGTGCACGTGTGTCTCTTCTACAGCTCCGACTTCACGTGGGCGAGAGCCTCAGTGTCAGCAGTGGCAAAAACCAAGTCGTCGACGTACACGAGGATGTAGAACGGCGGCAGTGAAGTGTCAGTGCGCAGAAACAGCGACGGGTCAGCAGTAGAAGGCGCGAACCCAAGGGCCGCAAGCGTAGTCCTCAGTGTGTCGTGCCACTCACGTGGCGCCTGGCGGAGACCGTAGACCGGCCGCCGGAGGCTCCACTGGGTACCAGGAGGGAACGACCCAGTGAAGCCCGGGGGGCGGCGCAGCCAGATCTCCTCGTGCAGGCTGCCCTGCAAGAAAGCTGTGCTGAAGTCAAGAGAGTGAAGCTCGTAGTCACGGTGAGCGGCAACGTGCAGCAGCACCCGAAGAGTGGTCATCTTCGGGGTGGGGGAGAAGGTCTGGAACCCTCTCGCTGACTGAAGCCTCGAGCAATGTAACGAGCCTTGAAGACAGGCGGAGAACCTGGCGGCCGCTTCACCCTGAAAATCCACATGCCACTGACGATGTTCGCCCCAGGAGGGGGAACCTCGTCGACGTAAGTGCCAGTGGACTTCCAGGATGCCATCTGTGCGTCCATGGCTGTCTGCCACTGAGAGGAGTACTCACTCGCGATCGCCTCAGCGTAAGAGCGCGGGGTCGGGATGTCTGGTGCATCCGGGTCTCCCTCAGGTGCAATCAGCATGGACACGAGATGAGGTACAGCAGCCGCAAAGCACTGGAACTCCTCCTGTCTGTCCTCAAGGACGTCCGTGCCAAGAGCACACTCACCCCCGACGGACGGAGGACAGACAGACTTAGACTCAGCAACAAGACTAGCGGCGTAGTCTAGACGACAGGCAGCAGCAAAGGCAACAAGCTCAGCAACCAAGGCAGACGCAGCAGTAGACTCAAACGACGGGTCAGTGACAATAGTGGCTAACAGACGCGTGACAGTAGGGTGCTCAGTACGAAACCGGTCAGACTCAGGGTCCGGAACGTCAGGCAGAGAGGACGCAGGAGGAGACGGCAGAGGAACAGGCTGCGGAGCAGAGGAAGGACGACGGACTACGAGGTGTGCGCTGGGGACAGCCGGCTGACGCGAACGAGGAACACGACGACCGGTACGACTAGGACGAACAGGCGAGACAGGACGCGACGCAGGCTCACGACGCTCAGCAGGACTACCTGTCTGCTCAGTGTAAGGAGAAGGAGCAGGCAGCGGTGAGCCAGGCTGTAACGGAAGACCAGTAGACGACGGGAGAGTAAGAACCTGACAAAGAACAGAGTCAGGCGGCGGCAGAGACGACGGAGATGGCGGAGCGAAGAACAGTCGTGTCGGCGCAGCTGCACCAGTACCGGCAGCTCCAGCAGCTCCAGCACCTCCAGCAGCTCCAGAAGCTCCAGCCCCAGAACCGACACCTCCAGGCCCAGGGTCTCCAACCTCAGTGTCTCCAGCAGCAGCACCCCCAGAACCAGCACCTCCAGTCCCAGGGTCTCCAGCCTCAATGTCTCCAGCAGCAGCA